ACACCTACGGAACCTACACCTATGGATCTATACCTATGGAACGTACACCATATGGACCTACACCTACGGAACCTACACCTATGGATCTATACCTACGGAACCTACACCATATGGTCCTACACGTACGGAACCTACACCTATGGACCTACACCTATAGAACATACACGATATGGAACCTGCACCATCTGGAACCATATGATCAGCATGTCAATATAGAGTGACATGGAACCAACCCAAGACTTAGCATTAAGTGAAGAAAGTGCTATATGCATGACAGAGTGAACACTATGCTCCCACTTGTGCGAAGTGTGTTCACACGTGCATAGGAGCTTCTGGAAGAACAGAAAAAAACTGCTTCCAAGAGCTGCCTCCACTGGCGGGATTAGGTGTGTGTGGGGCTGGGGAAGGAACAAAACCCACTTCTCAACATGAGGCCTTTGGTAGCTTTTGAAACGTGCAGATTCCACATCCCTGAAGCAAGGAGCTTGCCTTGTCACACGCTCATGTGGCCACTTACATTCCCACGTCACAGATGATATCCTGAGTGACCGGAGATTCCAACAGGGCAGCCAGGACTTGGAGCGAATGCAAGAGGGTGTCCGACTCGTAATAATGATCCCAACATCCGTAGCCACTGCGGAGGGGAGAGAGCAGGCAGGTGAGGCCCAGAGACCTACCAGGTGACCCCAGGCCAGGGTGGGGGCGGGGGCCTACAGGTCAATCGAGTTAGAGCGTGCAGGGGTGCAACCCAGGCATTGCTATCTTTTTAAAGCCTCTAGCGTGATCCTACTGTGCAGCCAGAGTTAGAACCACAGCTACAAAAAGCCATGCATTTTATTGGAAATTAAGAAACACTGGGCCCCTGTCCATTTCTCTTAGTTTTAAGTTACTGGGAGAAATCCTCTCTCTTGTCAAGAAGTGTCTGCTCTTAGACTTTTTCTTTTTTATAACCTTTAACGTGGCCAAAACCACACTGATCTGTAAGAAAAGGATGTGAAAGAAACAAAGCTAGACCCACAGGAAAACATTCTTCAGGCAAGGAACGTCATTAACAACCATTCAAAACGCCACTCGCACAGCCGCCCCTGAGCTTCCCACTCTAGATGTTTGCAGGGGGCTGAATGGCATCCCCCAAAAAGGGATGTCTATGTCCTAACCTCCAGAACTGGTCAATGTGACCTCACGTGGAAAAAAGGTCTTCACAGATGTAATTAAATTAAGGATCTCGAGATGAGATGATCCTGGGTTATCTGGGTGGGCCCTAAGTCCAGTGACAAGCGTCCTTATAAGAGACAGAAGGAGGCAAAGACACGGAGAAGAGGGACAGCCTTGTGAAGAGGGAGGCAGGGACTGGAGGGAGGCGGCCACAAGCCCAGGGATTGGGAGCTGGAAGCAGGAAGAGGCAGGAAGCATCTCCCCCTAGAGCCTTCGGAGGAAGCAGGGCCCTGTCGACACCCTGATTTTGGACTTCTGGCCTCCTGAACTGTGAAAGAGTAAATTCCCGCTGTTTTAAACCACCCAGCTTGTGGGACTTTGTCACAGCAGCCCCAGAAAACTCACACAATGCTCAGGGATGTCATAAAATGTGAAGACTGGGTTGAGAGCAATCTCTTAGGATGGAGGTTCCCATAATAAAACACAGAGCACTTGTAAACCACTTTTAAATCTTTCACAAGTCTTCCTTTCTACGGCGCAGCAGCCGAGACGTGACGTTTCAAATGCTGAACAAACTTTGCCCACACAAACAGAAACCCCCAAACTGGCATTTGCCATTCTTCATGCCTGGAAAGCATCCCTCTCGGCCTGTGGCTCTGGTTCTCAGATGAAAACGGGGTCAAGGAGGTGCCCCGTGAGGGATGGAGACCTGGAGGTCCTCTCCTCTCCAGCAGACAGACTCCTGTTTCACGAGTTTTCACTCCCTGGCAGCGCCCAGGCCGCACGTGACACCAAATAGCATTGCAACGCCAGACCCCTTGCTGCCTGATGCCCAGCCATCCACCGAGCTCTCACCCCTGCAGCTGCCCAGCAAGCGCAAGGGCACCTTACAACAGGGGCTGATCAGGAAGTGCCGGGGCCCATTTTGGGTGGCAGCCCTCCATCTACAAAGCCTACAAAACTGGCTCAAATAAAACAGCTGGCCTCTCCGGGGGAGGACCTGCGGAACCATGAGGCAGGCGCCCTAGGGGCAGCGGCCCCTCATTCTCCTCCCAGGTGCCCCTTCTGGGGTGGGAGCTGGACTTGCACCGGCAGGGACAGGAAGAGGGTGTGCTCAGCGAAGGACGTGGCTCCTCTCCCACCTCAGTTTCCTCTCTGTAAACTGCTGCAGATGGCAAATGAGAGCCTGCTCAGCACACCCTAAACCGTCTGGAGCCCAGCTCAGCTGGGCCCTCACCCCTGCTTCACACGGATATACCATCCCGGGATCGGCGGGCTGGCGGGGTGAAGAAGAGGGCAAAGAAAGGAATGAGGCCCTACCCTGGAAGTGTCTGGACAGCGATTATGCCAGGAGGACTGGGCTGGTGACTGCAGCCCCTCCAGAGCGGGGGACAGAACAGAGAGACCAAGCAGGAAATCAGGAGCAAAGGTCACTAAAGCTGCCCGATCTTGGGCACCCAGGCTCCCAGGGTCCTGGCAGTCAGGCGGGGAACTTCTTAAGGAACAAACTAACGGAGGGGTGTCGATGCTCTTGGATATTATGGGAGACACAGCCCGAGATGAAGTCAGGATTCCAAGAAGAGAAATCAACCTACCGAGGAAAATGAACTGGAAAGGACAGAGAAAGCTGCTCCAAGGACTAATACAAAAACGCCCGAGAGAAGGTCGTGTCTGCAAACCCTAAGTGCAGAAACAAGAATGAACCGAGGCAGGGGGCACGGACGGAGGAGAGACTTCAGATTCCACGACTGGGCAGGAGCCACAAAGACAAACAGGAATAGAAGCCCACAGGGCAGCTGACCCGAAGTCAGAACAGAACCATAGCTCGTACGAGACTCACAGCGCGGCAACAAACTGATTGTTTTTGAATAAGAGACAAGAGGAGAATCAAGGAATCAGCTTTCCCGATTATTGCAAAAAGGCAGAGCGGAAGGGATCACCTACACTCACTTACGGAAAGATGCTGAGACAGACAGTTCACGGCCAGATGTGAACCTGATGACCTGGGAAGGGTGATGGTAAAACAGAAGCAGCCCAGCTTTGAAATCAGCCGTGGCCCGGTAGAACTCAGCTCCCCTGGTTACTCGGCACAGGGATCTAGGATCACCCAGCCTTGCTGGGCCTGCTCTTGTCTGATGGTGCGAAGCAGGCCCACACACAGATGGTCTCCTAAATGGACCCCCATATCCGCAGTGCTCAATATCAGCCCCCACCTTCCTTGCCCCTTCGGCCAAGGGGAGCTGACGGAGACACCTCTACCTGCCCACCCTGGGGCGTTTGTGCGTTCTGCTCTCACCATATCTCCAGTTCGGGTCCAAGCCTGTATCTCGCTCCTTTGTGTTTGGCAATTTCAATACCTACACGCACAGAGAAAGAAAAGGTCAATTTCAGCACCTACAACTTGGTCAAAGGCTGCGGTAGGTATGATAAAAAACCAAACAAGAAAAGAAAGCGCTCCGTGATCTCCAGACCCTGCTTACACCTGCAAGAAACGAGAAGCAGGCAAGGCCCTTAGCACCCCAGAGGAGGAGAAAGAAGTCACAGCCTGGCAGTTTATTAACAAGCAGACGTGGAAGACCCCGTGCAGGGAGAAGGCGGGACTTGCAGTGGCAGCAGCCCCAGGCACCATCCACCTCCAGGTTTGGGCAGCAGCTTCCAAGCGGACTCTGGGGAGGACAGGCCAGCGAAGGGGAGGCTCAGCTGGGGCCACCCAAGACCACCTCTCTTCACCCCAACTAGATTTGCTCTGAGCTCTGACGAAAGGAAAGCAGGTTGATATGAAAAAAATAAAAAGGATGAAAGTCCAAGGCACATGGCAGATAAGATGCCCTCACTTGAATCATCCTGTTTTTCCATTCCTGCTCTTGGAAAACCCTCTTGCAGGAAGCTGCTCATGACAAGACAACGTGGGGTGGCTACACTTGCCGGGCTGCCCAGGGGGGCCCCACTTGAGGGGTAAATAGGAATAGTGCAAATGAATAGTGCAAACTTTCACTCTCGAAAGTGAGCCAGTGCAAGCGATAACTATATGGGGAGCCCACACCACCACTCCCTAGTCTCTAAGCTCACGGGCTTACCCCTTATTCCACTTCCCTCTTTGGGTGGAATTCTCCAAATGTCCACCAACCACGAAGGTCTTCAGGCCCCAGAGACCACCACTGTAGGACACTTCTTCACAACCTCCTTCCCGGGGGCTGGCCATTCTCTCCCCTTAAACACTTCCGAGGATGGGCAGCTCAGCTCTAAATATGCCACTGGGGACCCCAGAAATATTCAGGGACAGGTAGGCCCCAGCCCTCCCCTCTCCACCTCCACCGGCCAGGCTTCTCTAAAATACTACGTGCACATACCACGTGTCCCCAGGCACTGTAAACCCCGCCCCCCTTTCGAGAGGAGGACCTGGGCACTCACGCAGGCGTGTCATTATCCTATTGTCTTACCTGTCCCCAGGCCCCCGCTGCGAGAGTTTCTGCACAGCAAGGCTGCGTGTGCGTCACGAGCAAGAGTGGACCTCCGCCCCTCCTCCTGTCCGTCCCCGGCCGCCCCCAGACTCACTCTTTAAAATCCTTTGCAAATTGCCCTCGAAGTCCAGGGCCCACTGGTTCAGTGCGCAAGTGGCCACTGTCACCTTCCGGCCCATGCTGGCCGCAGTCGCCTGGGGAGGATGCCAGCCGGACAGCGGGTTCTCCTGTCCTGGGGAGACAGGCGGCCCTGCAGCGAGCCCTTCCGGGTCGCCCTGCCCCCTCCGGCCGCGCCTGGCGGACACTGGACCGCAGAGCCGCGGCGTCAGGCCCCGCCCCG